ATTCTCTCCTCCTTTTAAAAGTCAGTGTTGGCTGCTCAAAGGAGCGGGCTGCGGGTGGGAGAGGGGGAGCCAAAAAGGGACTTCAAATACGCCACGGGAAACAGAGCAAGGGGTACGACTGGGCAAAGCGGGGGCCGAACCAGAAGAGCGGGACTCAACCTACAGCACACGGCACCTATTCACGCTATCTCAGAGGGTCCTGCTAAAGACTGAGAAGTATAACTTTCCCAGGGAGAAAAGTTGGCTAAGTTGACCAAAAAACCTCCAGCTGAGCTCTTCAGGCTGCCGCGGCCACGGAGGAAGCCTGGGGACGAGGAGTTAATCGCACCCTGCTGGGAGAAAGCTGGGCAGGCAGCCCGGGAAGGGCTTGCGAGGGCTCGGGGACGGCAGGCAGCCTGGTCCCCTGGAAGGGGGGGGCGGAGGAGGCAGCAGACGCCCTCCTGGGAGTTCCACCTGAGCCCGTTAGGTGAATGACTAATGGCAAGGAGGACATCAGGCCGATAACACGGCATTTGCAGTAATGAATGCTCACAGGGGAAGCACAGGCAAATTTAAAAAATTTCAGAGCTGGCTCCCTGGCTTCTTTCCTGAAGCTGCAGGGGAAAAAAAAAAAAAAAAAATCTTTGAAACCCCAGGCTGAGCCCACCAGCTTGTTTCCGCAGTAAGTAAATCAACAACCGTGGGAGAAGGAATAGGTGTGACAGAGCTTTCTGACGTTAATCGTGTAGGTAGATGTGCAAGGTGGCGAGACGGGGGAGACAAGGTGCTTGTCCGTAAATCTCTGGCACTTTACAGAGGTGTGCACATTTTTACCGTCCTCATTTTACCAAAGGGGAAGCAGAGACACGGAAACGTTTATGGTACTGAGCATCCTGACTACGCACCAACTTCAAGACATGTCTAGTCTTGGATCACACTCCCCACCCTGAGCCAATCTGTTCGCTTCCCACCAGCTCTGCAGTGCCTCCTCTGCCACGAACGTCCTGAGAGCACCCCCACAGCTCAGGGGAAAGCTGTTTCCTGATCCTCGCTCAGGTCATGCAAGAGAGGATCCCAACATGTCAAAAAAAGAACAGAATTTTTGAACGTGTGGACAGGACCACAAGATAGAGAAGAACAACAGTTCCAGCGCCCCCCAGCACTGGATGGGACAGTAATAGCTCCCACTAACGATAACAGGAGGCACAGGTCTAGTTCGCTGCAGATAATGCTGATAAATGTTAAATAAGGTTGCTTGGCAGATGCCATGAAAGGCTGACTGTAGTGGATGCCTAGAATGAACTCACTGGAGACATGAACCAATTTTCTCAGCACCTGTTTACCACTGGCTCAAACAGGTAAAATTTGAACTATTCCTCTTACCTCTTTTCCACCATCTCCCCCACCCCTACACAGATCCCTTCCTTCCTAGCACAGGGAAACGGATAGACATGAATGGCTTTACTTTGCATGGAAAAGGTAGATGTTTAAATGGGCCTTCGATGTACGAGTAGCACACGTGGAATTAAACCATGCCGGAGAGATTGCTGCTTCTGTAATCCTGCATAATTAATAGGATTCAATCCTGCTCGCTACTGTAAATACCTAGTGTGCAGGCACAAGCTGTTTGCCTTAACTGTGTCTAAATGAGGCACCTCCCCTGCTCCCCCCCCCCTCAAACACTGTGAACAGCAAGTACCATAGCATGTTACATGGCTGGCTTGAAACCTGACAACATATGCATTTGCAACACGCTGAGGGCGCTTCTTCCATCAACGTAGCTAGAAAACTCACGGAGCTGCGCGCACCACTGTGGGTGTGTGGCCGGGCAGGGAGGAGAAGGGATTCTGGCTTAGGAGCCCAGGCTCTGCAATGTTCAAAACCGCCCCACTGCAACTTGAGAGGCACCAGGGAGGCACCTAATTTACTACTACTCAGCACTTGTAAAGTGCTGAATGAATATTAATGAACTGATGTAATTAAAATGATGCAGACATTCAACTGTAATATCTGCCTGTCCTTGTATCTTCCTGGATAGATGAGGAAGAAATTCCCTGCTGCTTAAGGACACAAAAAAT